ACAGAAAAAGCTCTTGAATTTATTTTTCTTAAATTTACAATTTATATATCCGTTTGTCATAAAAATTTGTCTTTCCACTTTTTCCCGAGACTATGAATATTCGAGTACAAAGTAACCGGTTTCGACTTATTTCTACTTAAGAAGTAGTTAAATAATTAAGCAATTGGGGACATAAACAAAAACCTGATGAAAGATCCGAAATTTTACTTAAACAAAAGCCTAACCGAACCAATCCCTAGCCAAGTACAGTGGGACCGATTTCTTTGAAATATTAGATGTAATAAAGACAGACATTTTTCCAGTTCAACGAGAGTGACCAAAAAGTTGTAAATTTTGGAAATTTCCGTGGACAACACCTGGTCCTAAAACCAATTAGTTATAAAACAATCTATTAAGTTTAACATATTTAGACTTTTATGGCTATGGTGAGAAATGTTTAAAATTTACAAGAACCTTGTCGCGTCTTTTGAGGTATATTAGTGATGCGACAAAAGAGGCATTTGAAATTGACCGGTGTCGGCACCCTCAGGATTTGGCAGCCCGCATGCATGTACACACCGCACACCTAGCATGACCATCTCTGATTCCACTCATAGGGAGCTATTTGACAAAGTGGTTAAGATTTAAAGAGTAAACAATATTTTATGTTATTTTTATGTACATTTCTTTACAAAGCTATATTTAATTCTAATTTTCTTTAAACGTATATTCATACAATTGAAGAATGTTTTGTACCATGTATTTATATCCACCATACATTTTATTTCACCAAGTAAGTTTTTATAATTTTATTTTTAATTTTAGCCCTTATATTGTGGTTAGCGATTCAGAATGTTATTGCGATATTGAAAATTTATTTTTAAAAAGTTTTGGCTCAAAATCATATAATGAAAAAGAAAACATTATTAAGAGAAAGGCTAATGCCTAAGTTAAATATAAATGCTTCAATAAAAAAATTTGTTCGACATTTTCACGATAAAATGGCTCTATAAATGCATAAAAATGCAAAAATTGTTTTGTTGGCTTGCCTACTATTTTCAAATGAAATTAGTGTGTGGAATAAGAATGGCTTTGACAATTTAGCTGGCAAAAGACACGAAAAATCGTCTCTTTGTTTTTTTTTTTTTTTTTTTTTTGAATCAATTTGGAAATTAAAGCAGAATAGAATTTAACATTAGTAAATAATATAAAATAAATATTGAAAATTATAACGAGATAGTTACAGTTAATCGATATAATATGTTTAAATAAATAGATGTTATATGTTTTTATCAAAGCAAGAATTGGCAATATATTGGATCTAATAACAGAGGTAATTATATTGAACTTGTTTATTTATTAAGTATGTCAGATAAATAATCTATTAAAAATACATTTAAAGAATTTAAAGAAACTGATTGCCCCTGGAAGTCGGCTTTTTATAGAAACACCGCTTCCCTATCATCAAATGTCACGGCACACCACTGATAAAGATAGATAAACTTGTGCAAAGTTTTGTACTAGAATTTTTATAAGTTGCAGTGTGCTTTAAGTATGATTTTATTTTGACATTTTTAATGATGTCATTTCATTTACTATTAACTTGAATACTTCAGATAGATTTACATCAAAATTTCCACATTCTCTTTACATTTCTGTTTATATACATCCATTTCTTTACGGAGGATCTGAATTTTATCTTTATTAATTATTCATTTTATTCTCTATTAAATAAACTACAGTTCCTCATAGAAGTATATTTGGAGCTATTTATGATTCTATATACTTTGGTTCTTTAAAACCTTATTCTGCTTAACTAATAGTTACAAAATTCTATAAAGAACTTTTTAATTGAAAAATTATTTACTTCAATAAATATTTCCTTCAAAATATGAACATCCGTTAATCCAATTTCTTAATTAAGGCTAAATGATATGCTGGATTATATCAGACTATAATATGGCTACTATAATATATAGATACTATTTAAATAGTATCTATACACAGTATATTATAGCTCAATATAATCCTGCAGATTGTCTGGCCTTAAAAATTCCTTTGTTTGTGTTGCATCTTGTCAAAGTATTATAATCAATAACTTAGTTTATCCTTAACTGATTCCTGTCTTTTACTTTTTAAAATAACATCAAAACAACTTAGTTTTACTTTCCATATGTATCTTAGAATAATAAATTAACACTTATTTGTGATGTTTAATTATAGAACTATATAATAATAATAATAATAATAATAATAATAGATTGTTCCAAAAATAATTTTGTTTTTTTTATGGGGGAAAACAAAAAAGTTTTCTTATAATATAATATATAAATATTTTATTAATTATATATTGACCATTTTGGTCCAATACCTTTTGCAATTTTTCTGGTAGTAGCATGATTCCATGCTCCATAAAGTTTTGATCTTTGTTTATAAAAAAACTGATCCAAGTGATTTTTGACATCCTCATTTGAAGTAAATGTTTTACTGTTTAAAAAATTTTGTAAAAACTGGAACAACTAATAATCCGAGGGTGTCAGATCTGGCAAATATGGTAGATGTGGTAGCACATCCCATCCAAGCTGTAACAGCTTCTGGTGAGTTACCAAACTTGTGTGAAGTCTGGCATTATCATGGTGAAACACTATACCTTTTCTGTTGATCAATTCTGGCCTTTACTGTTTGATGGTTTCACTCAATTTATTCAGTTGACAGCAGTACACTTCCAAATCTGTTGTGGAATTGTCTGGTAGAAGCTCGAAAAACCCAATTCTCTTAAAATCCCAGCAAACAGAGATCATCACTTTTTATGAATATCACCTTTCAAAGTGGTATGAGCCGGCTCATCTCTTCTACTCCACGATCGCTTGTGTTCAACATTGTTATAAACAATCCATTTTTCTTCACCAGTTATGATATGCTTGAAAAATGAATAATTTTCTTGACGTTTAAGAAGCAAATCACAGATGTCAATGCGATAGAGCAAATCTCTTTAGGAACATGTGGAACCCATTTATTGAACTTTGAAACAAAACAGTCATTTCAAGTGATCATAAATGGTTGAATTCAACAAATTTAATCTCGGCAATTTCTCATTGGTATTCGGTGGTTTACTTCAATCAACACCTTTTTTTATTTAGTCTCCATCAGCTTCAACTGGCCTTCCAGAACATGGTGCATCTTTAATATCAAAATTGCCAGAACAAAATTTTTCACAATTTTTGTTTGATTCAAAATAAGCCTTCAAATGTTGAAATGTCAGCTTTCCAAATATATAATGACAATATGGTTTAGAATGAATTTGGTGGGTAAAAATACAACTACTCCCTCTGGTGGTAAAAAATGAAATTACTTTTCAAATAACCCAATAGTAGAGACTAGGATTTTAAGTAACCTAAGCAAAGAATCAAGGCATAACTGGCTAATTGGATTAGTACTTCATTATACATTAACTGATGTAGTCAATACATACTATAGGTCAGGCGTGGCCAAACTTTTATCCCTTAGCGGCTACTTTTTTGGTAAAATATAGTCTGCGGGCAACTATGAATATGGGCAAACACTTTTAGAATTTTTATATGCTCATGCGTTAACATTCATTTGCATCAAATGTTAACATACATTTGCTTTGGGGCGTTAACATTCATTTGCATTCATTGGGATAAATACAAACAGTATGGGTACGCTGCACAGACAGTCTATTATTGTAAGAATAAATTATTGAATTAAGATTTTTAAACATTAATTTAAGTGAAAGCAAATTGTTCAACTTTAGCTTCGCGGGCTACTTTCAAAACCTTTGCGGTCGACCGCGGTCTACGTGTTGGCCATCCCCGCTACAGGTACTGTACTATAGCTAATTTGATATCGTGTGGGTTAAGTGACACAATTTCAACACTTTTTTTTATTTTGAGTCCGTGCGTATGCTAAGACTGACACTTTGTGTGTGTGTGTGTGTGTATTGATGTGATATTCCATCTCCTCCCACATGTTATGTAATGTATCCCTGTAATAGAGGACATAACATGGATGTGCTACTTTGATTCAGTGATTGAATTTAGCAACAGGGTTGGGTGAGTAAAGACAAGTCACTGAGAATGTCAGTAATGTGGATCACTGCCAGGAGACTATTTACATTCCTGACAATTTTGTGTGTGATGAAAATTAAAAACTTTAAAGAGGTTACATGTACTGATAGATGATCATATTGTGATCATGTGGCACGACTCAATTAACATGTGAAATTGAATGATCTTTTTTCAATAATCCTATAATTATTGCACTTTATATAGTACTGCTGTTACCTGTGGCTTTTGCAATCAAATCCCATTTATATTCAGTATTTCAACAACCATAGTAATTGTTATATAACACCTACTGCTGAGAATGATGAGAATTGCCAAGAATCGAACGAACTATTTTCAATTTGATCACTTTTCTGGAACGTTTACAATCGTTCTATAATCGAACCAATATGCAATAACAAATTCGAATTTAAAACGGTTTGAACATTTTAAATCGAAATAGATAAAAATATTTATAACAATGTCTGAAATGCTATCAATTTAATACACCTAAGTACTCGATGAAGACTAAATCCTTTCCCTCTCCTGGGAAAATTTCGAAAAATCCCTTCTTAGTGTGCATTGCCATGGCATACCCTACTAGAATGCAGATAAAAACAAAAAATTGCATCTAAAATAGTACAGTAGAAGCCGTTGTTCCGGTTAAGCCTTAATGCTCTTCCTCTCCCCCCGCGGGGGAATTTCGAAAAATCCCTTCTTAGTGTGCGTTTCCATGATGTACCCTAACTGTACCAAATTTCACCTCTTTAGGTTCAGCGGTTTGCTCTGGGCGATGATGAATCAGTGAGTCATTCAGTCAGTCAGGACAAGCAATTTTATGTATATAGATTTAACTGCATAACTAAATAGTTAAAATGTATTTTTAATGTAATGTTTTTATATGAAAAATTCTTTATTCTCTTTTGATGATGATGATCATGATTATTCTTATTTCAGAGGAAGAGCAAGTCTCTCGATTTTACGTCAGAAAAGAGTTACTGTGAGCAGCGTGGGAAAATATTATCGTGATTATGTTGCCATTCAAGGTCTCAGTAAATATTTTCTTGATAATACTAATATCACTAGTGTGAAACTTTTGAGAGATCACGAGTGCATTACTGAAAATGAAGATTGTCATGAGAAATTGCTTTGGCAAGTAGAGGGAGTGAGAACAACTCAAAGGTGGGATACTAAGGAAGTGTTTGAAGAAAATCTTTCATTTGTAACACCTAATGTAATATTGGCAATGGGAAACTCTGATCTGCCTAATAAACTTGGAGTACCGGGAGAGGGTTTTCCTTTTGTTCTTCATTCTCTGGCTCAGCTAGAAAATTTAATTCGTTGTGGAGCATTAGCTGCGTCCTCTCGAGATCTGCTTGTAGTCGGTGCTGGACTAAGTGCCGCGGATGCAATAATTGCAGCTCGTTTTCATGGAATTTCTGTCATTCACGTCTTCAGAAGATCCGTAGATGATCCTCAGTTAATTTTCAATAAACTTCCAACAAACATGTATCCAGAGTATCACAAAGTACACCAGATGATGCACGACACAAACGGAGAACTGTATGAAGGTTACAAGGCGTATTCTGAACACACCATCCAGAAAATTCTTTCAGATGGTTGTGTAGTCTTGTCATCCCGCGGTCAGGTGGACAAAATCTCTACGGTTTGTGTTTCGTACGTACTAGTGTTGATTGGAATGCATTCAGATCTTTCCATTCTTCCTTTTGACGAAACAACTCTCGGAATTCATCAGAACAAGCCTCTAGATTCCAGAACAAATCCTATCAATATTGATTTGATTTCGCACGAAAGTACAACATATCCAGGAATATATGCTTTGGGGCCGCTAGTAGGAGACAATTTTGTCCGTTTTGTACAAGGTGGAGCTCTAGCCATTACGAATAGTATATATCACAAGAGATTAAAAAGTTCTTAAAATTTTAAAGAGTTTGTACATATTTTTAATTGTTAAATATTTGCGATGCTCTGTACATTTTTGTTAATAGTGTTTCTATTTAAGAATAATTCCTCTTTGCATTCAATCTCTTGTAATTAAAATGTACATATTTTTATATTGTGTAGACAAATTTGTCTTCAAATTCAATAGAATTTCATGAAAGATCTGCTCTATTGGTTTTGACTCTTACCAGTATTATTTATCATTTATATTAAATGTGAATTATTTAGAAACTTGCATACTACAATTTATAGTTTTCTGATCTTTTTTATAAAAAACAGTATAATGTATATCAATTGATTATTGTAAATTTGTGATAAGAAAGTTTGTTAATATGTAAAATTAGCTCACTTAACCTTTTTTAAGCATAGAATACAAGACTGTTATATACTTTTGATATGTTTAAATTTGATAAAGTAAAAAATTACATTACAGATGGATACTAGTCTATCTTCATTGCATGCCATGTCCAATCACCAGGAACAACTATTTTCCATTGCAGACACAACCTTTCTTTAGAGGCTATGTCTCTGCACAAATATATAAAACAGTTTGCATATTTGTGCAGAGGCAACATTTTCTTACTTTATTAAATTATAATTCTGCCAACCCTTTTTACAAAAAACTGTTTAAATTTGTTTTATCCTTGTCAAGTGAATAAATATGTATTTTACTATTGCAATTTATAAAATTGTTTTTGATGTTTAAAATGATGACTGTCATCACTTAAATACAGAGGACATTTTTCAACATAGTTTATTTAAAAAACAATATTTTTTTGTGTATTCCATAATACCCTTAAAGATACAATAAAAGTTTGATTTTATAAAATCATTCTATAATTGGCTGAGTAACTTCAAAGTATTATTTGAATGTCTATCATGTTTGTTTAACATGTTTAATATTGAAGTATTTGAATGTGTCACGTATTTGTCATATATATTAATTTTGGAAATTTTTTTGTTAAGGATGTATAAATGAAGTTTCGTTACTTGCTTGTACTGTTACTAAAATAGACAAGGAGCACGAGACTGTCCCATTTTCTCTTATCTTTCTCGTAGTTTGGGAAAGTGCATCTTAAAAATTTGGGCAATGGAAAAAGGTTAAGAACCACTGCTGTAGAAAAGTTTTCTTTATTAAAAGTGCCATTTAATTTTTAAAAATTTCAGAATACATTCTTGAAATACTTCATTGTTGAAAGCTGGAAACAAAATTTGATTATAAACAAGTGTTTTCATTTTGAAATTTAGTCATCACTATATTTTTATTACTAATTTTTCAAAGTAATTGTTTACTTAACATTATGAACATTTGATTTTGAGAACATTCAGTTAGAGAATTTTAAAACTGCTGAATTAGACCAAATATTTTGTATGGATAACAAGGCTTTTTGTTTCTAGATTAATGTAAGCAATAATTTAACTTAATAAAGATTCATTACTTTTTAATCAAATGCTTAATTAGCTGAAAATTTTTGCTAATGCTTTCATTCTTTAATATTGAAATTTATCAAATAATAAAAATTGAATTCCTGTTTTTTTGCCTGCTGANACACTCACAAATGACACATGCAGAAAATGTCACATCATGCCAGAAACTATACAACACATTACATCTGGGTGCAAGCTCTTGGCACAGAGATTATTTACACAGACATAATCAAGTAGCAAATATAATACACCAAGAGCTTGCAAAGAAACACAAATTATTGGCATTGCAGCATGCTTGGGCCGGCACTGCTTTCGCCACCAGTAACCACGGGAGACTGTGGCCTATTTTTCAAATGTGAGCCTCTGCCTAACCCACGATTGCAGACCTTGGTAATCCAGGCGACGTCCAAGCTGGTATCACACTGATCTGGTTACTACCATTATGAATAACTTCACAGAATGTGGGTGTAGTCTTAGCTTCATTTCTCCCCATAGATCTTACTGGCATGGGTGTCCCTACCAGGAGCTTGTGCTCCAGCCTGCATTGCCGTATGGATCAGTAAAATTTCTGGGCTCTCCCACCACAACTAGGTGGTGACCACGGGAGAGTTATTGTTATTATTATTATAGCGTTGTAAAAAATTAGTGCGATGTAAACAACATGGAAATTGTTTACTGTTACAAAGCAGAAAGATGAAAAAATAATTACACATACAATTATTGTTATGCTTTGTGGCATTGTAAATAATAATTCTATGATTGTGGAACCAGAATATAATCGGAGTTAATGCAGTTTCCCTTCATGGTTTCTATATAAATATCAAGAGCCTCCAACGAGCATAAGTCGTGTCGGTTGAAGACCCTATGCAAAAGAATAGCTTCATTCCAACATGGGGAAATCCCAGGTTCAGTAGCATACTGGGCTAGAGCAGTATTATACTTCTACTTGGACACATCATATTTGTGGTCCCGTACTCTAGCCTCAAGAGCTCTATATGTAGATCTGATGTATGTTATCTGACGATTGAAACATTCGTCATGCAATGGGATGCAGCACACCCCTGGCACTTTCTTGTCATCAGACTTGTCTTTAGCATTAGATAAAAGTTGGAAAATATTGTTTTCTCTTATATGTTAAGCGCACTCTTATGTGTGTTTTATACATTCCTGAGGAGGACCTCTAAAAGAAGGCCAAAAACATTTAAACATTAAAATTTTTGTTCAATTACTGCTGGAATTAGCATTTAGGTGTGAATGTTTGTGTTTAGTATATAGTTCCAGTTTACATGTGCTAGTTTTTTGTCTGACAATGCAGAATCACATGAATAGAAATAGTGATAGGATACAAAATAATATATCAGAGAGAGACAATGTTGTGTATAAATTTTGTTTTGATTGTGAAGATAGTAAAAAGTATATTGAAGAAACAAAAAAGAAAACTAAAAATATGACTGGAGAATATATAAATTATTTTTGAACAAATTTATATGATTTGATTGCTCAATATTGTTATAGTGCTGGATGCGAAATAATTAAGAAAATAATAGTAGTTAAAAATGAAAAGCATACAACAAAAAGTTTTTATGTACATTTAGAAATAAAATTGGAAATAGTAAACTGGATAAATCATAATACAGGCTTAAATTTAGATAGGAATTTGCTACTATATGTAAATAGGAATAGGGGCAGTAATGGTTATGTGGCATGGGATTTTGTATTGTAATCTAGAAATGTCTGATAGACATTTTAGGAAGTTTCATGTAAGCAATAGGCAATATTGGATGTTATTGAAATTTAAAGTTTATGTAAGGATGTATTTTTGGGCTACCATTTTAAAATTGCACACCTATAAATTCTCATTGGTAGCTGTCTATTGTTTGTCTGTCCTTTCTGAATCATGAGGACAGAGTTAAATAGATGAAAGGTTGAGACCAGAAATGAAAAGATTAAGAAGTTGGAGGCCATTAACCGAATAACTATACACAAACTTTCAGTTTGGTATAGTTATTTACACATTATTTCAATTCAAAAATTTTCTCCAGAACAAAGATGACTGGTCTGACTTTTGTTAACAGAAAAAGTATGATGATGTGCAAGGACAAGACACTACTAAAATCAAGAGTGCTGTATATCAAGATCTAAAAAATTGCAGCCTGGCATTACGATGATGATGTCACAATAAAGAATTGCTCATTGTAAGTAATTTACAGATTCAGAAATATTTACTTTTTGTAAAATATTTTATGGAACATTTTACATAATACAGAAAGAAATTTTATATTATGCAGCAGCAAAATGTTAACAAATTGGATAAAAAATTTTAAATTATTTTTGGCTTATTGAGGAGGAATTTGTTTTGTATTGTCAGTGTCAGAAAAATCAGATCTCTCTATTTTAAGAAAAATACACTTAAGGTTAAATCACCAAATAATGTCTAATTACAGGTCCAAAATGCATTTTGGATTAATGATTATTATGTTAACGAAAAAAAATTCTTTTTAAATTTTAAATTGTATACTTTTTAAATTTAAAAAGTGTAAGGTTAAATCACCAAATAATGTCTAATTACAGGTCCAAAATGCATTTTGGATTAATGATTATTATGTTAACGAAAAATGATTCTTTTTAAATTTTAAATAATATATACTTATTGTTTTGCATTAGTTAATGAAAATACACTGCCATGTTTTTAGCTGTTTATTGTTTGACGGTTAATCTGTCGAGGGGAAAGCCTCCGCGGGATCGTCTACAAGAAATTGGCCCTACGTAGACGTACGACACACCGATAGCCCATTGGTCGGGTGTGAACTTGGAACAAACTACCAGTTTTAATGGCTTCTTTTACTTAGCCATTGGTGGGCTTCTAGCTGTTTTATAGCCATCTCTTCAAATTCACTCTTCAGTCAGCTGTAAATAATTTGTTACCAAATATAAATTTAAAATTTTAAAATCTGTACAATAATAAAATTTATTACATAAGCATTTATGACATACTTTATTANACACAAAAAAGAACATAAATATGAAATTAAAATATAAATAACGGAAAAGTAGATAAAATAAACGAAAAATATAAATTAATCCGAAAAAATGTCACTTAACAAATAAAAATAAATAAAGTCATTAATTCTTGTAAAAGGATTGCCATGCGGTAGGTAAAGAGTCCTCATCTCTATGGTTGATGCAACAAGTTTTCTTGTGTGCCTTAAAGATCACTAATTTCTCCAGATATTTCATTGTATGTAAATTTGTCGTAGGTTCCACCAAAATTTTAAATTCCGCCCGATCCCAATGGACTTGAATGTCGTGTTGCGTTGCGTAAGACGATAGCACGGTGTTGTCAAGTTTCTTATTAATAGTATATTTATGTTCTTTGATATGTTGTTGCAATTTGCACATTGTTGCGCCTACGTAGACAAGATCCGAATTAAAACGCTGATCGTGTAATAGTATAGAATAGATTCCTGATGCCGATTTCCAGTCATAACGCTTCTTATTGTTTCTTAATAGCTTGAAAACTGTAGGATTGCGTCTATATACTACACTGAAACCATTAGCCTTTGCCGTTTCTTTATGTATTTGTCTCAAAAACGGGACATAATTTAAAACCATCTTTTGTCTACGGTCTACTGTGGGATGCCGTTGTTTAGTAGGTTGTAATAAGATTCTTTATGATTTCCTTTTGGTATCCATGTTGTTCCACAATCTTTAGAATGTAGTTTAGCTCTGCCATCGTGTCTTTTATACTAGAACAATGTGTATAAGCCCTTTTTATCCAGGACCTAAAGGCCGCCAATTTGATGTGATGCAGATCAATTGAATTATGTGGAATTAAAGAGAGTCGAAAGAATGGTTTTCTGTATATGCTGGTCCTGATTTCTCCGTCTGCAAGCGATGGAAATGTCCAAAAACTGTCACACAAACTGTCTTGTGGCATTAAAGAAGAATTAAAGCTTGTTAAGTTGGCAATTCTGAAGGTTGGTTACACTATGGCAAAATTCAATTTCATTAACCTAAAGAGATTTAAGGGCATTAATCCCACTTTCTACCATGGATGTCAGCAATGAAAAAGTTTTTGCATATGCTTCAATCACTACTTAGACCTGATTTCATTGCATCTCACTAGACTTTTTAGAAGACACATTCTGTACATAATAC